TTATCAGCCCAGGGTGACATCCTGGGGGTGGGAACAGGCTTGGTGCCACCGGGCTGGTGCCACCAGCCACATGCCAGCGCACGGGGCGGAGGCTCGGGCCGAGCGTCAGGGGTGGCTTTATCAATTAGCAGGTGGAGGTAAACAGCGTGGTAATTACAGCCAGGGAGGATGATGCTAAACTGGGAAGGTGTTACCGACACCGCTGAGGACAGGGATTAGCCCAAAAGGAGCAGGGGGGGCAGATCCGAGGCGAGGGACACCAGTGGGGAGGATGGCAACCCCCACCAGTTGTCCCATTTTGTGCTGGGATGGGTGGAAAGGGGAGGTTGCAAGGTGGCCTGAGGGAAAGGGATCGATTTTGGGGTGCTGGGGGGTGTCAGAGCAAACCCCAAGGGGAGGCAGCCAGGAGGGTCCCTCGCATCCCCATCCAGGTACAGGCAGGGTGAGGAGAAAGAGGAAGGCTGGGACCAGGAAGGTTTTGCCGGCTGCTGCTGCTGCTCCTGGCCCTGGCCCCACTGTGATGCCCCTCACTGTCACCTCGGGGTGCAGCAGGTGGGACAAGACAGAGCTGGGATGAGCCTGGATCTGCCATCCTGACGGCCACAGGACTCAGGGAGCATCTTCCTTGGAGACTCTGCTGTTTGTCCCCCTGTTCTGGGCACGTGCCAGGAGGATGAGTCCAGCCCCTTCCTCCAGAACGCTCATCCAGGGGTGGGGATGGATCCACACAGTCCCACGGGGTGGGAGATGAGGGTCAGGCCATCCAGAACCATCCAGGCCTTCTGTGGATGATGTCTCCTGCCAGGCAGTGCCAGAAGCTGAGCCAGAGGCGAGAAGATCAGGGAGGGATCCCATCAACATCTGTACTCCAGCTGCAAACCAGGAGCTTCTGGCTGTGGATCCTCATCGCTCCCGAGCCTAGGCACGGGGTCTCAGCTCTTGGTGCTCCTCCTGAGCAGCAAATCCCATCCCGTGGAGAGCTCTTGGATCCAACCACATCCTGCAAAACCCTGAAGACCCTCAGCAGGGAGGAGCGAGGTGTTGGTGGCCTCCTCAGGACCCCGGTGCTCCCGTTGAGGAGGGAAAAGCTGCAAGTTCTGTGGAGCTGGTACGTGACTGGAAGCCCTTCCCTCCTCCCCAGAACACAGATAGCCCAGAACGGGCATGGAAAGTGCCGTGTTTCCGTAGCAACCAACATTTTTCGTGCAAGGTGCTGCACGCACTCCCCGCGCTTTGCCACCCAAGGGTGCTCCTCACCTTCCTGCTCCGCACCAGGGAGGTCCTGCCCAGCACGGTGCCCGGGCCCGGCTGGCAGAGCAGGTCCCCAGGGCTTGGTGGGATCCTTCCCTCCTCCTCCTCCTCGCCCGTAGAAGGAGCCCAAAGCTTTGGTGCAACCTTGGGTGGCTCCTCACTGGGGGAGCTCCTCTGCTGTGCAATTCCCAGGATCTCCAGCGTTTTCCAGCACAAGCCACCAGTTGAAATGGGCACCTCCAGCACCTCCAGCACCACCACAGCACCCTCAGGTGATGTTGGGGGCCACGGTGGCTCTCCCTGTGGGTGGTGGCTCCGGTCCCTGCCCACCTGAGCCACACACGGGGTCACTGTGGGGGCTCCCAAACCACTCTGCAGCCCCTCATGGCTGCAGGACCTCTGAAGCAGAGGGAAGGACAATCCCGGCTCATCCCAATCCAGCCTCGCATGGCCACCAAGCACTCAACCACCGGGAATCCACGCAGAGACACCGGGGCCCGGCCAGCGCCGCACCCATGGGCTCCAAAGCCAAGTCCTCAATAGCACGAGATGCCATCCCTGGCTGAGCCAGCTGTGCTCTGAGTCACCGTCAGCCCCTGGATTTTCCCCAAACTAAAGCCTTCCCAACAAACTGGAATGGGCAGAGCTGCCCTGGAATGGCCGGAGCAGCTTCTCCAGGCCCAGCTGCAGATCCAAATCAAAAATCAGGAAATCTGACAACATTGCCAAGGCTTTCACAGCCCGGGAACACCAGGAAAGACCACGGTGCCAATGGCAGCCACCGGCAGTGCCAGCAAGGCCTCAGGAAAGAGGACTTTTGTGGGATACTCAACCGGTCACGCTCCACCCCAGCAGAGCTGGACCCGCGCGGACCGAGGGACCCCCAGAGCCCTGCTCTGGGATCTTCCAGCACAATCCCAGCTCCGGGAGCCTCAGTCCTCCATCCCCATCCCTGGAGAAGGATCCAACCACCACACGCCACCGCTCCAAACATCCAAGCGCCTCCAAAACTTCTCCCACTCATTCCTCGTGCCCGTGTGAGCGCCAGTGCAGAAACCCAGCAGGTTATTTTTATCCTGAGTGATCCAGGCTGGGAAAAAAAAAATCCCCCGTGGGCACCGCCCCGAGACGATTTGGCGGGCGAAGGGCGCAGGGGCATTACCGGCTGAAGCGGCGTGATCCTCTTTGGTGGCCCAAAGTTATCCTGGCAGCCGTGGAAGCCGCCGGCAAAATGGTGACGGGGTCAAGGCGGCGGCGGCACGAGCAGGGAAAAACGGGATGGGAGGTCAAGGGCAAAGCGAGGAGGTGGCAGATTTTTGGGGAGAGGGTGGGTGCCCTACCCCCCATCCCTGTTGGGTGCCCCCCATCCCGGTTGGGTTCTCCCTATCCCAGGAAAGGGGGGACGCGAGGACGGAGCCGGTCGCCTTCGGGGTCACCCAGCTGGGTCTTGCTGTGCTGTCCTGTGGATAGAACTGAAGGAGAGGGAGGGGGGACTGAGAAAAAAAATTGGGTTATTTTTTTTTAAAAAAATCTTATAAAAATAATATTTAAGGAAATACAGCACTAGGAAAAAAAAAAAAAATTCTGTACAGACAGGTTTCAAAGTCGCCCATAAAGAGACACAGCACCCACTTCCCTGCACATTTCAACCCTTTTTACACTCCCCTTACACATTAAAACCATTTTTTCTTTTACTTTCCAAACCAATATAGATAATTTTTAAGCAAATAAAGATATTTACTACAGATTTTGATTGTCAGCAAACACAATATATTTACTGCATTAGCATTTGCTCACAGTGCAAATGGTACAACAATACATCAGTTCAATATTTCTGATTTTTTCCCTTAAAAATGCTGTATGCATTAACTATCATATTTGCATTACAACATGACAAATGAGCAAATGAAATGTGTGTGAAAATTATCACCTTTTCACAATATCAAGCATAATTTTTTTTTTTTAACCTTAGTATAAGGTACTATAAATCCAAGAAATAAAAACATCCACAAAATATATTACATCTGGTATGATTTTTTTTTTCTCTAAGTACTCAACTTTATACAAAAGTCTTTCAAAAAATATCATTCCCTTAGGTTTGTGTGGTTAAACCTGATTGTGGTTTGGTTTTTTTTTTGTTTTTTTTTTGTTCCTTTCAGTTCACATAAATTAGACTGCATTCTTCCTCTTCTCTTTATTTTTGTACGTTTTTAATGTGTTTTTTTTGTGTTTTTTTTTTTCACATGCAGACATCAAACCTGGATAGCACGACCTTTTGGCAACAAAGATTTTTTTTTTTTTTAAGTCATTATTATTTTTGCTTAGTTTAGCTTAAATGTCTGAGCACAGTTTTATTAAAACAAAAGAAGAAAAAAATCAGAGCAGTCATGCAATGACATGCACATACCAGAAGGAGAAAGAAAAAAAAAAAAAATAAAATAGAGGACTAATTGATTTTTCTCCTCCATAGTTGGGTGGTTGTTTTAAAGTGACCAAATAAAATAAAATAAAAATATCTCACATTATAAAAAGTATTCAGCAAAATACTGGGGTGCTTTTTTTTTTCCTGTATTTCTGTAAAGAATTTCTCTTCTGCTGAAAACAAACAAACAAAAAATAATAAAAAGGAAAAGAAAACAAAAATAAGAAAACAAACCCAAAAGCTGCTGCCGGGACATCGCTCCCCGCCGCCCCCGGAGTTGGGGGGACCCGCAGAGCCGCCCCCCACCCCACCAGCCCGGCTTGGGGGGCTGAGCCCTCTTACCTCCAACACGGGGAGCCGGTGCTTGGGGACACAGGGGGGACACGGGGCCGGGGGGGACAACGGGGGCTCCAGGCCTGGCGAGGAGAGGAGCCAGATCAGCTCCATCCATCCATCCATCCATCCATCCATCCATCCATCCATCCACCCATCCATCATCCATCCATCCATCCATCCATCCATCCATCCATCCATCCATCCATCCCTCACGGATCCTGGAGAGCCCAGCCCCAGAGGAGCCGGGCAGGACGGGACTGGAGTGGGTGTGTGGGGGGCCCGATCCTGGAGCACCCAGCCCCGGCAGGGCGGGCGGGCCGGACCGAGCCCTGGGATCCAGGTCAGCCGGGATTATTCCCGGGATCCGCCGCCCAGGCAGCACGGAGCCAGGCCGGGCGGGTGCGGGCGGGATGGACCCGGGAGGTGCCGTATGAGGGCCGTGGGGTGCGGGAGAGTCGGAGCCGGGATGGGGCAATCCAGCCGGGATCCGGGAGGTGCTAGTAATCCAGGTGCGGGAGCAGGGATCCGGGAACAGGGTGCGGACAGCAGGGGATCCGGGAGAACCGGGCAAGGAGGGTGCGGGCAGCCCGGCCCCGGGCGCTGCGGTTGTGGGCAGCCGGGTTCCGGGAGTTGCAGGAGCAGGCAGCCGGGATCCAGGCAGTGCAGGCGGCCCGGCCCCGGGCAGTGCAGGTGGAAGCAGCCGGGATGTGGAAGGTGCGGGAGCAGGCAGCCGGGATCCAGGTGGTGAGGGCAATCCCAGCGCGGGTAGCGCCAGTCCGGGCAATCCGGGTGCGGGCAGCGCGGGTCCCGTCGATCCAAGTGCAGGCAGGATCCAGGTGCGGGCAGCCTGGACCCGGTCAATCCAAGTGCGGGCAGAGCAAACCCGTCGCAGCACAACCCCGGTATCCTGAACACCGTGGGGTTCCCCCCGGAGCGGTGCCGAGAGCAAGGGGAGGAGAAGGGGTGCCACCGCGCCGCCCCCCACAGTCCCTCAAGCGCACGTGGTGACGGCGGGGGCGAGGGCGACGGGGGGCGAGGTGGTGGCGGCGGCGGCGGGGGGCGCGGCGGGGGGCTGCCCACCAGAGCCCTTCTCGGCCTTCTTCTCCTTCTGCTTGAGGTGGATCTTGGCGTGCCGCTTGCGCTCGTCGGAGCGGGCGAACTTGCGGCCGCAGAACTCGCAGGCGAAGGGCTTCTCGCCGGTGTGGGTGCGGATGTGGGTGGTGAGGTGGTCGCTGCGGCTGAAGCTCCGCATGCAGATGCGGCACTGGAAGGGCTTGTGGCCCGTGTGGATGCGGAGGTGGCGGGTGAGCTCGTCGGAGCGGGAGAAGCGGCGGTCGCAACCCTCGGCCGGGCAGGCGTGGGGCCGCTCGTGGAGCGGCGTCTTGCTGGGCCGGTTGGGATACTTGCGGGGTCGGATGGGCTTGAGGGTGAGGGGTGGCTGCGGCAGCCCCCCGAAACCCGGGTGGATCTGCTTGTCCTTGAAGGCCTTGATGGTCTCCAGCGGGGTGATGGGGGGCGGGTTGACGCGGATGGGGTCCAAGCTCTGGAAGGGTTTGTGCTCCGTGATGGTGCCCATGTCGTTGGGGTGGTGGTAGAGGTTATAGTCTGGGATCATGGGGAAGAGGTTGCTGTCCAAGGCGGGCTTGGCCGCCTGGTAATCCTGGGGGGAATAGGTGAGACCAGGGTTGCTCTGGGGGTCGTGGAAGGAGACGGGCTCTGGGTAGAGGTCACTGCAGGAGGAGTAGGGCGGCAGCGCGGGGTACATCTGGTCCACCTCGCCCTGCGGCGGCCCCATGCTGCCCGCCGAGCTCTGCGTGCTGGTGAGCGCGCCCGAGGACGGCGGCACCCCCAGGATGCCGGCGCTCATCAGGCTGATGATGTTGTCCTGGCACCAGTTGGAGGGCGAGTCGAAAGCGAATTTCCCCAGGTAGGTGACAGTCTTGTTGCCCGGGGCGGGTTGAAAAGTGCCCGAGTAGGAGGACAATTCCTGACCGGCCTTTTCGTTCGCTAAGCCAATGTCCATAACATTATCTGCAAAGTGTGAGAGAAGCGGGGCAGGGTGAGCCGGGAGGGAGCACCGGGGGATGCTCCGGGGAGCGGAGATGCACCGGTTCCCCCTCGGCCCGCTCGCGCCCTTCCCCTCGCTGCTTCCACCCCGCATATGCGGCGCTGCCTGCCGGGGGTCCCGACGATGCGGGGCCGCCCGCGCCGCCCCCGCGAGGAGCTGCCTGGGGTGGGTGGGGGGGACACCCCACCGCCGCGCCGCCGGAGGAAGGAGGTACCTGCGGCTACAGGTAGGCTTCCTCCCCGTCCAGCCCCGGCAGCGATGGGCACTCCGCGGAGCCGGGGCTGCGGCCGCCGACGCCGTTACCAACTCGCCGCCTTCCCTGCGCCGAGCCCCGGCGAGGAGAAACACGGGGATGGGAGAGGGGGGGGGGGGGGGGGG